CCCAGGCCTGAATCCTGTCCAGGAGCATCCAGCCTGGGCCAGGGGCGAGACCAGCCATCGGAGGGGTCTGGGGTCCCCTGCCCAGCCTGACCCCTGGGCCAGAGGCATCAGGCCTGGGCGGGGGACAGAACCAGTGATCAGGGGAAATGAGGGTCCCCTGCCCAGGCCTGACACCTCTGGTAGAGGCATCAGGCCTGGGCAAGGGGCCGATCCTGCGATTGGAGGGTGATGGGGGTCAATGCCTGAGGGCTCCCAGTATGTGAGAGGGGGCAGGCTGGCCTAGGGACACCCCCCCCACACCCAGTGCACGAATTTCGTGCACCGGGCCCCTAGTCCTATATAATAAAAGCCTCATATGCAAATAAACTGAACGGCAGAATGACCAGAGGAACTACTGGCCGCTATGAAGCGCACTAACCACCATGGGGCAGACCCTCAACGCATGAGCTGCCCCCAGCCTGCAGGCCCCAGGCCAGCCAAGGCAGGTGCCAGTTCAGCCAAAGGGGGGTGCCAGCGCTGCCCCCCCCCCCCACGATTGCCCCGCCGGTCACCCCACAGATCAGCCCTGATCACTGGCCAGGCCTAGGGACCCTACCCATACACGAATTTCATGCATCGGGCCTCTAGCAGAAAATAATCATGGTCACTGCCCCCAGTTCCTGACTCAGTGCTCCTGAAACCCATCATTTCCTGGGTGATAGGGGCATCCCTGTTCTAATGAGGTGACTCTGGGTGGAATCCAGGATAGCTCCTGGATGGTGGCTTGTCACTGATACACAGCCATGATTAGAAGGGCTGATGCCCAGCTGGTTTGGCTCAGTGGTTGAGCATCAACCTATGAACCAGGAGGACACAGTTCGATCACTGGTTAGAGCACATGCCTGGGTTGTGGGCTCAATCCCCAGTGGGGGGCCTGCAAGAGGCAGCCAATCAATGATTCTCTCTCATAATTGATGTTTCTATCTCTCTCACCCTCTCCCTTCCTCTCTGTAATCAATAAAAACATTTTTTTTAAAGAAAGGAACACCTGATTGGTGGTGTTGCTCTTATATCAATCAGGGGCAAAGCAGACATGCAGTCCTTAGTTCATCCTGATGTCTGTGTTGGTGGCCAGAGCTGTTTCATGTCTGAGGCAAATTTAAAAATCTTTTTTAAATTAAAAGAAAAAGGGGAGAAGGGCTGGAAATAGTTAATGATCTATCATTCCGATGTAATGAAACCTCCACAAAACCCCAAAGTTACAGGTTTCAGAGAGCTTCCAGGCTGGCAAGTACGTGTACATCGAGAGGTTGACACACCCCAGAGTCATGGGGGCAGAAGCGCCCGCCCTTGGGACCCACCCAGACCTCATCCTATGGATCCCTTCATCTGGCTGTTCATCCTTTATCATATCTTTAAATAAACTAGTAACCATAAATGAGTGTTTCCCAGAATTCTATGAGCCACTGTAGCAAATCAATCTAACGAGGAGGGGGGTTGTGGGAACCTCTGATTTGTAGCCAAATCTGACAGAAGTTGTGGGTAACCTCGGGACCTTCTACTTGCAATTGGCCTCTGAAGCAGGCAGGGGATGGTCTTTGGGCCTGCGCCTCCCACCTGTGGAATCTGCTGCTCTCAACAGGTAGGGAATGTCAGAGCAGAGCTAAACTGGAGGGCGCCCAGCTGATGCTTGAGACTTGCTTATTGTGGGGGAGGGGAGTGCAGGGGGGGGGGGCGAAAGGGGGGGGCACATGGTGACCAGAAGTATCGGAAGTGAAGTGTTTTGTGTGAATAGTAAAAGAAACACAGGATATAGACGGAACTGGGGTTTTTCCCTACAAAAGGAGAGAAAAACTGAGTTTTTTATTTTAATAACATAAAAAACCTCTTACAATTCAATAAGGAAAAGGCAACCCAATATTTTTAAATGGGCGAAAGATTTGAATAGACATTTCACCAAAGAAGATATATGAATGGAAATAAGAACACGAAAAGATATTCAACATCATTCATCATTAGGGAAATGCAAATTAAAACCATAATGAGATACCATCCCACGCCCACCAGAATGACTATAATCAACAAGACAGATAGCATCGCATGTTAGTAAGGAGTGGAGAAATTGGAACCTTCATGCATTGCTGGTAGGAAAGTAAAGTGATACAGTCATGTTGGAAAACATTTTGGCAGTTTCTTACAAAGTTAAACATAAACTTACCATATGATCCAGCAATTCTACTCCTAGGAATCTTTACAAGAGAAATGAAAACATATGTCCACATAAAGATGCAGATGTGAATGTTCATAAGAGCATTATTCATATCATCACACACTGGAAACTTTTCAAATACCCATCAACTGGTGAATAGATAAACAAAATATGCTAGACTCATACAATAGAGTAACATTCAACAATTAAAATGAAAGAATTACTGATTCGTGCTACAACAGGGATGAACTCCAAAAACATTATCCTAAGTTAAGGGGGCCAGGTGAAGAAAACTGCATATTGTGTTTGATTGTATTTATGTGGAGTGTGCCAGAAAGGCAAATTTAGAGACACAGATCAGAGGTTGCCTAGGGCTGGGGGTAGGAGGCAAGATTAGCTGTAAATGGGTGTGAGGAAACTTTGAGGAGATAAAAATGCTCTAAAACTGATTATTTTAATTATAAATTGACCAAACTATAAAAAAAGTTAATTCGTAGTTCTTGAAATTAACAGTAAACCAAATTTCCATTATTAATTGCTAGAAATAAAACATGAGTAAAGACTTTCAAAAATGGTGTAAGAAATGACCATGCTCCCCCCAACCCCAGGACCAATAATTTACTACACACTGAGCGACAAGGCCGCAGGGAACTTCAAGTAGTTCATGAAGATGGCCAACCCTGTGTTTGACCAGACTGATAAAAGGAACTGGCATTAACACTCAGAAAAGTCTGCATTCCTGTGTTCTCAGTTCCCCTTAAAAAAAAGCCAGAGGCTTGGATGAGCCATAAACTGGATCATTATTTTGAATAATGTATTAATTACCTCATTTTTTGCCAGACACCAGTTATTTTTGCCACCATCCTATATTAACTGCGATGAAAGCTTGTCTTGTTCAAACGACATGGAATAAATTTACGTGTGGTATTTTCTTACCTGGGGTTGTACTGAAAGGTGTGGGTGAAGCGCGAGGGCCCCCCTCAACATTTACTGAGCATCTTTCATGCACGAGGCACTCGGGCTTGTGAGCCATGCAACAAAGACACGCAGCCTCTGCGCTCAAGGAATCTGTAAGCAGGCTGGGAAAGAAAGCTAAGCAGCTATTAGCAAACAGTAAAAGATAGTAAGCACTGTAAAATCAAGGGGGAAACCTCAAAATGTAAGATAAAGAAATTTCACTGCAATACAGTTTGAGTTCCTTCCAGTGTGAATATTCTACCATTTTTTAGGAGAAAGATCTGGATAGTTTGTATATAGTCTGTGGCTGAGTAACTTAAGGGTTTGTTATGTTTCTCTGGCAACTACTTATTGAGTGGTGTTTTGTTTTTTTTAATTTTTTTGGGTCAGTTTCTTAACTTGCATGAATTACAAAATTGTTTCATTTCTAAGTCAAGAGCTCATCCCAGTAAAGCTGTGCCAAACGTGTGTGTACACAAGCTGCAACATTTTCTCTCTTTTTTTCCTGATGCACTCAGTTCTGCAAGATTATAATGCTGATACTATGAGAAGTAAAGTCTTTCTATTATGATGATGGCAAAGGGCACAAGGCAAATTTCCCAGGTCTGTGCATGGGCACATGAGCTGACCTTGGCCTACAAACCAAGCAGAGGCACTTGGCAACTGCTGCTAGGTGCCGGCCATACTTGAGTTTACAAATAAAACCCAGATCTGCTCAGTGAAAGCAGATCTCCGCTCTATGTACTGACACTCTGGATCCACACCCATGATCGAGGGAGTGGTCTCATTAGTGATTCCTTTCCTATTGGAAAATCACCCTGACTTTGAATAAACATATGAATTGCACGTTAATGATGGCAGCCTAGATTTTTGCAAATGTGCATTCAGTTTATATAGTATGCTAATAATCTTTAAAATATTTAGGAACTTGTGGAGATATGAGGTATTTTTTAACATAGGATCAAGATGGAGATTTGGGTATGAAGTGATGCAAATAAAAATAATATCTTCTCCTCTGTTCTCTCTTATTCCCATCTCATTGTTCTTAGAGACCTCCATAGAAATGGAAGTGCAACATCTTACCTAGGCATTGCTAAATTGATTCTTTGTATGCATGAATGCCCCTGGGGCTGAGGTTCCATAAGCACATTCCCACCTTTTCTTTTGCACCCACACCAGCCTGAAGATACTTCCAAAAACGGGACTTTTTCTCCTGCCAAGGCCTAACTCGTATTTGGCCACACCCTGCCCCGGCCTCCTGGAATGCTGTACCCTTCACCCTTGTTCTAAATTACATTACGAGGTTTTGTTTCATTGGAAGCACTATCCTGACTTCCTTTTAGCAATCTTGTCTTGAAATGCAATACCATGCAGAAAATTATAATGTTATCAAAAATGATGCTTACCCAAATACTTAACTCTGGGGAGAAATAAATCAAGTTAGACCTTTATTTCACATGATATGCCAAAATAAATACAAATGGATAAAAGCATTCAACGTAGTCCATCAAAACATAAAAATATTAGAAAAGAAAAAGCTAAATATGTATCTGATTTATGGATAGGAAAGCCCTTTCTAAGGTTGTAATCAATTGAAGAAACCCTAAAAGAAAATATAAAATTGACTAATAAACAGCAAAATCTGTCTATAAGTAAAATTATTAATAAAATTAAAGAGTAAACAATAAGCTAAGAAAAATGTTTGTGAAATATCAATAAGAGTTACTCTGATATTGAGAATTTATTTAAATCAATAAGAAAAATAGCACTATTTCTATAAAAAATTAATACCCCAACAGCATAAACAAGCAATTTATAAAATAAGCCAATTTATAAATATTAAAGCTTCAATCTCATTAGAAATAAAAGTAATAAAAAGATCTAAGAAGGTCTTTTTTATTTTCTTTTAAGATTTGACAGTCTGATAGATAATAACATCTCAAGATTGTGGGAGAGTGAAGTGAGAAATGCCTTCTTGTGTTTGGTGGGGAAAAATCTGGTAAAAACTTTTGGAAGGCATTTTGACAATATATAATAAATGCCTTTAAAATATTCATCCTTTGACAGATTAATTCAATTATCAGGAATTTATATTAAGAAACACACACAAATGAATATATGAGAATGTTATGTTACTTAAAATAATTTCTAACAATTTTTTAAAGTAGTCTTTAAGACCACCATTAGTGAAGCAGTTAAGTAAATTATGAAGCAATCATGTAATGGACTTTAATGCAGTCATTACAAATTATTTGGGAAATATTTCAAGTGGAACAGAAAATTGTTTCTGATTTTATAATGACTAAAGGAATATGCAACAGTATAAAATATAGTTCAGCCATAAAAAAATTCATTTTTACAGAGATGATAAAATATGTAAATTATTAATAACTGTGGGGTTATTATTGATTATTATTTATTCTTTATACTTTCTGTACTTTTATAAAATTATCTACCATCACTAGGTATCTGTTTGTAATAAGAAACATCTATATATATAAAAGGCTAATATGCAAAATGTCCCCTTGGGAGTTTGACTAGGAGACTGGGAGTTCAATCGCTTGCTATGACATGCACTGACCACCAGGGGGTGGTATGGAATGAAGGAATGCTTTGGCCGGCAGCCGGCAGCCAGAGAAGGGAGGACCCGGCTGGCAGCCAGAAGGCCCTGATTGGCCCTGATCGCTGGCCAGGGCTAGGGATCCTGCCCATGCACGAAATTTATGCATCAGGCCTCTAGTTTTTTCATAATGATACCATGAATAGTTAACAATATAAAAAAATATGATTTTCAACATTCTATGATATGACTATCTCAAATTAAAAAGCTTTGCACAGCAAAAGAAACAATCAACCAAATGAAAAGGCAAACTACAGAATGGGAGAAAATATTTGCAAACCATATATCTGGTAAGGGGTTAATATCTAAAATATATAAGAAAGTCATACAACTTAATAGCAAAGAAACAAATAATCTGATTTAAAAATGGACAGA